GGTCCAAACGGCGGATTAGATCTGGATCGCCGACTAGGTCGGCGATTCGCCAATAATTTCCTGGGCTTGCCGACTTTTACAGACTCCAATGTAAAATTATCTTGAGTCCAACAGCGGTCTGGGTAGGGGTCGCTGACCTCTTTGGCGATGTGCCGACTGGACCTTTTACTCTCCAATCTGCACTTTTCAACAACTTTCCCACTTCGACCTACACAAACAACACACCATTATTTCTTAAAGCAAAAATAAAGGGATAATGGGTCTTGGGTTGCCTCCCAAGCAGTGTCTTAGTTAACGTCGTGGCACAACGCAAGTTCCCACTTAAGTTCCATTAGTGGGGTTCGTCTCACTTTCATAAGGCAACCCCTTTTCCGGCTCTAGGTAGAGACATTCCAAAAGCATCTTATCTGGAATTCCATGAGTCGAGCACTCTTGCAAGAGAGCGTTAAACCTTTGTCATAACTCATAAACTGACTCACCCTCCAATTTATTGAAACTTAGGATGTTATTCCGTAGCATCATCATTTTCAGAAGAGGGTGGTCTATTGGGTCACCGTTGCTAGAATGTATGCTCAATTTTTCTGTTAAAAAAAGCAACACGAAAACCAAAACTAAAAATTAAGTAAGTTCAACTATAATTAACAAGAACAAACTTCAATCTAACTAAAAAATTTCAACTAACACCATTCCCCAGCAGCGGCGCCATTTTGATGTTTGCGTAATCAACTGACACTAGTTCTGTTCAAGTGTCATACAATCACGTGTAGTGATATAACCAAACCAAGGGTCGGGATCGTTCCCATAGGGAGTGGTTTTGAGAATTAATAGAAAAATAAAATTTAATTCTAATTAGTGGTAGCTAAAGACATTAACGAAGAAAAATATTGTAAATCTAAAAAGGGGTGACGCAAGCGTTAATTAACAATCTGGGGGTTTTGTCACAAGTAAACAAAAATAGTGAAAATAACAAAGAGATCTAATAAATGAGAGGGGGATTCTTGGGATGTGATTAGGAACACGGGATAAACAAGATTATTGGGTACATGCTTTTGATAGAGAACTTATAGATTAATTGTGACTAGGCTAGACTTTAAGGGGGATAAGCTATCTCTCGAGCAACTTACCCTGTTTCAAATGGGTTCCTCTCGAACGCCCACTTGCTGCATGAAGAACAACATTCGCCTTAACACACTCACTCTCTCGAGTTGAGTGTGTGGACATGGGACTAGGGTTCACTCTCTCGAGCTGAACCTCATGTCGACTCACTCACATTGACCATCAATTTAGTGGTCTTTGTTTTACGACCTCTCTCTCGAGCAAGCCGAAAACACATATATGAGACTATATTTGCAACTACAACCTCATTAAATTCATCGACAACCACTAAATGAAATCACATTTAAACTACAAATAGACTATCAGCAAACAAGACCCAATAACTAATCTAACCCATATTCACAAAATCACACACCAATAATTGAGGTTTTTAGCCACACATCAAGAAATAGAAATTTATACCTAAATGAGCTTGCATTCAAATGGGTATAAAGATTTAAGTCTTGTTATAGGCCTAGAATGAAGGATCTGAGACACCCAAGTCCAAATCCTTGGAGATGAAACCTTATTCTTCTTCAAGTCTTCAAAACCCTCTCCAACTCAGAGCAAAAATAAGAAAAACTAATATTCTCTCTGAAAATTATAATAATTGTTCCACTCTTCAAACTACAACTCTAACTAGTATTTATAGTTCTCACAGATTTGTGTTGCAACGAATCATTCGGCGTAGTTAGTCGAAATCGTCGATCAACTCGGCAATTTGCCCTTTGGTGTAGTTCATCACCATCTTGCACTATCCTTCAGCATCATCTTGCTCTTGGTCATTGGGAGACATGGTATCTCTTCACGGAACTTCTCAGCGATGCGTCGACTGCTCTCTTTTTCCACCGACTTGATCCTTTAGTGTCCATGCTTTCCTTCAAACTTCAAATACCTAAAACTTAAAGGTTTTCATCAGATATTGAGATAGAGTGAGCATTTAAGGACATAATTTCTATTAAAATATAGCGCTAAATGAGTCCAATTTGTGGACTTATCAATGGCAGCCTGGAAGAACTGGCTCACCATGAATTCGATTGATCACTGGTCTTCTAAACGAGGTCTGTCAGTAGCCGCCTGAAGATGTCCTGTACTAAAAAAACAAAGAGCAAGTACAGTATTAGTACACAACCACAGTGTACTGGTAGGATCACACAGCTATCCAAATTAGTGAAATATATGCAATTAATCACAACATAATAAAACATGCATCTACCGAACATATACAATATCAGTCATTTTTCAAAAGAAATGAACAATTCCACATTCTCGAAATACATCAGTATAACAAGTCAATGGTCCTCTCAAGGAATCCACACCCAAACTCTTAGTGTACCGGTACATGGTACCCGATCCAAGTTAGTGAGTCGGATGTGACACCCGATCCCATATATGCGTCAAAACGTGCACCCGATCTAAGTTAGTGTGTTGGAACGTAACACCCAATCCATTGAACAAGCCACAATCACAATCATAATGTACATTCTCATAATCATACAATCAAGTGTTGATCTCTTGCATACAATTATTCATTCATACTCATTTACGATTAGTGTGATCAATAATGCAACATTTGCATACATACATGCATTAAAATAAAGTAATTACTAACATACATCACACCAACATGAAATCACAGCCATCACATACCTCTAACAAAGCTTGAATCATCCGAAGAAACTTGATTCTTCTCTTTCCGGATTCTTTTCGCTTGTTCTTGGTCTACAAACAATCAACAAAATACGGGGATCAATAATTAAGGTCTAATTTACCCACATTATGACAAACCCAATAATCCAAGACCTAATTTATGATCCTAAGGTGCATCTAGGGCTTTTTGCACCATCCAAAACCGTTCAAAGCCCTTCCCCAACGATATACAATCAAGATTTTATGTTCTACAGATCGAAAAATGGAATTGGGAGCAAAAACCTTACCTTTAGCACCAAATTTCATGGAAAACTGTTAAGAACTCGTCTGGGGTCGTCTCCTAGCTCTCAAAACCGAATGTTGCAGAAAAATAACGTTTTTGGGGTTTATTTCTGACTTAAGTCGCGACTGTCCTGCCACAATAGGCCTCATCCCACTAAAGTGGCCCCACCTTGGCGGTTTGCACAGAAACAGAGAGCTAATTTAATAGTTTCAAACCCCCATTTCACAACACACATTTATCCCATGACACTCAGAAACTATCTGTTCACGCTAAGGTCAGTTTCAGGAATTCTACTCACCTTAATTCAATTCCTTAAAGTCGTACGGGTTCCTTAACGTCTTACTTATCTACTCACGTGATCAAATTCATAATTAGATCTCCCATTTGTTACCAGATTTCCTTATACCTCACTGACTCCGATTTCGTCCAAATTTAAATTAGGTTGGGAAATTTCAAGTTACTACCAAAAAGTTTTTCGGTCCAAAAATTTTCCCCATTGGCTTTTCTATAACGACAGGAACATGTCGTTACATCTTAGGGCGTAAGTCTTATAGAAACTAAGCCCCACACTTGACACTCGAGACGTTTTGTTAGATCCCCACCCTAGGGCGAGCCCTGAGGTGAATCCAAACAAAGTTTTATAAAACACCGGTCTCACTAATTGACAATCCAAAATATTTAAAAGATATATAAAAAATTTACGGTTAAAGATAGACTTGTTTGAATGTTGAAATCCACAATATCTCATATAAATTGGGACGGAGAAAATAATTGAATTGACAGCTCATGAGTCAAAATGTTTTGAAGCATCATTTTGGTAAAACTGAAGATGAACTTACTCGGCTTTGGGCTCCAATAGCATCACATGGAAATGACAAAGTTTATTTTGATTATTGTCACTTAAATTTATAATATTGTACTTTTAATTCACTGCTATGTAACAACGAAAAAAATTATTTAGACTAATGATCAATTTGGTGTGATCACATTATTATCTTCTTTCTTGTTTTCTTATTTTGACTTTGGTTATTATTTAATAATAGTATTCCTCAGGCGAGACACCTGCAAAGAGAAGAGCAGTTTCAGCATCACTTGGGTGAACATTCCTTAAACTTAATAGGGAAAAGGGTCTGAAAAATACTCCAATTTTGGCCGGAATTGATGTTACGATACCAAACTTTATGGAGGACCTTTTACCCCCCCTGCACTACTTAATAGTGTATTTTAAAGGTATATATGTGCCCACGTGGACACGTTATTTTTTATTATGATGCAATATTTATGATGTCCACGTGAGCACATATATACCTTTAAAATACACTATTAAATAGTGCAGGGGTAAAAGGTTCTTTCCAAAGTTCGATATTGTTACAACAATTTCGATCAAAGTTCGGATATATTTCAGACATTTTCCCCTAAAAACAATATAGCACAACATCATGGATATAACAACCATACAAACAAACTATCAGTCTCATGCGCTCAATTGGATTATTGAAAATAAAAGGAAATCAGTAAAATATGGGTTGGGGGCTGGGGCATGTTTGGAGAAATCAATAATCAACTTTATAGAATTATCAGGATACTAAAATCGAAAATCTAACCAAATATTGACACTTGAAAAATTTTGCTTTCAAAATTTAACCAATAACAAAAATAAAATAAAAATCGAACTAATTCAAATCGATTCAATTTTCGATTTCTATGCACTCACATAACTCAAGTGGCACATATTCGAACATAGATAAGGAGTTCACAATGTTGATACAGGATATATATATATATATATATACTGGTAAAAAATTAATAAATACCATTCTATTAATTAACTAAGATTAAAAGAGGAAAGAATAGTTCAATGCACAAATCACAAATGAGTTATTTTGCTAGTGGTGGACATTTTTGCATTAAAAACGTAAAATTTGAAACCTCGAAAAGAAAAAAGACGACTTTATATATTAGCGCTCTTGAATTCACATAAGCAAATTTAAGTACTTTGTATTGCTTGGTGAATCATAAAGTACATATTCATGATCAACTTAGACGCATGACATCCAAATTGTCTTTAGTAAAAAAACCAAAGTACATAATTTCGAAATTAAAATTATAGTAAAAAGCATAAATTAGAAAAGTACAACATATTCATGTGTGATATGTAGTTCTTCTTCATATTTAATTTGTGAATCCTCCTCCATCTTGGTGCAACACAACAACGATCTGATCACCATTCTTTAACCCAATCTTCATAAAAAAAATAGAAACACGAAAAAATATTAAAGTTATACAATTTTAAATTAACGATAAATTAAATTAAGTTAGAAAATTAAGGTCTTACTTCATCAATAGTCTTTGTTGGTGAAGCACGTTTTCCATCGAAGAGAAATCGAACTGTTTTGTAATCCATTTGTTTTTTCTTACAGTATATCATGAAGATTTTCTTGATAACTGTATCAGGTGACACATTAAAAATGATAATGATCCATCCTATAAAAATAAAAATAAAAATAAAAATTAGGAACATAAAAATTTTAAAAATTATATTAGAGAGTGAAATGATGAACCTGAGATTGAACATGGATTTCAATTGTTGTGGTTTCATCAACTGGACTCTTATTTTCTGACATTTTTTCTTTGTTATTTTTTATTGGTGAAAATGAAGGATATTATACCAGTTTATATAGGAGATGAGAAGGAAAAAATAATAAATGAAATGATATAAAATATTAAAGCAATTTATGGTCCTCTGTCCTCTTTGTACCAAAAAAAGATTTAAGATATATTTCAATTTATGAATTGTTTGACTGATATGGAGTTTAAAAATGAAATTAATATTTTTGAAATTTATAGTCAAAAATAAAATTTAGATATTTGTGTGGTTGTGAATTATCTTATTAATTAATAGAAAATAAGAAGTTTAAACTCAGATTGTTCTAGAAGACTATAAACACTTTAGTTATGACACAAAAATAGACTAAATATTCAAAGAATAGATTATATCTTAAGACATAAATAAGGGTAGATAGTAAAAATCCCTTTTTTTAAAGGATGTGTAATGAAAAATAAGAAAGCATTGTTATTGACTAATGTGATTTCATTTTTAAATATTAGTCGTACTTCTTTAAAAGGTTGTGTTGGTTTATACATGACATCAGTTTATATGGTGGCTACACATGTGAATTGAATTTAGAATGTACGTAGACTTTATTTTTATCTTTGTGGAATATAAAAGTTATTTTCGAAAGACTATTAGTTCAAAAAGAATGTTACTAATGCAAGATTGTAAGAAAAATGTAACAACCACAAGATAGAAAACAAATAAAGTAACAAATAGTATTAAACATAGAATAATAAGAACCTAAGTAGTTACTAAATAATTCTACCAGTAGTGAGAAGAGGAAAGGGTAAGGCTAGCCCCTACTCTCGTACATAAAGAGGGACAACACCAGCTACCTACTAACATTTTAACCTAGTCTACGTCTTCAATAACTTTTTATTTAGGGTCATGTTCGTGTTATTCGATTAAATATTTTGTAAAAGCTTTAGTTTCATATTTTTCCTCAAATTGTTTCCCACTTATAAATTACTAGACACAAGTGTCCGTGCTAGCACGGGCCCAATATCTATTATTTTTTTCGTCTCACTTTATGTGATATAAATAAAATTTAGAGAGTCAATTAAATTTTGATATGATTTTAAAATATTTTAAATTGTTAATTATTGTAAATTATAGTACTTTTTACGTAATTTTTAAATAATATACATTGCTTCCCTTGTACCAATATACGTAGCACAAATAGAATTTCAAGAGTCAATATGTTGTTAATAATTGAGATTTATAATACTACGTACGTTGTTTCCAAATTAAAATAATACATGTTACTTCTTTTGTCCCATTTTATGTGACATATATATAGATTAATTTTATGAATCAATCGAATTTTTTAATAAGCAATCAATTTTTTATATGAATTTTAAGTTGTCAATTAGCATGATTTATAGTATTTTTTAGATATATAAGAAAATTAAAAAATAAGACAAACAAATTAAAAAAAATAAAAATAGAGAAATGTATATGTAAATGTGGAGCCACACAGGTGAAGCAGGCATGTCGACCGCCACTTGTGTGGTTGGTTAACCACACTTATATAAGTAGTGGATGTATTTGCACTTTTCAGCTGAGCTGTAAGGGGTAAACATGGCCCATGCCTTTAATTAGGGATGTTCATGGTTATGATTATAAAACCAAATGGAACCGCAATTCGAATCAAATCGATTAAAAAAATTGATATTTGATTTGATTTGGTTAGGTTTGATTTTAAATTTTGAAAACCCAATATTATTTGGTTGGTTTTGGTTTTGGTTTTACAAAAAATTAACCGAAAAAATAATCAAACCGAACCGAGAAGTTATATATATAAATTTTATAATTATTTATAAATAAAATATAAATTTTTTAATTAACTTAAGTCTTTAATTTTACTATTTTCTGAAGCCCAACACTTAAATTTTAGCCCAACTATTAAAACCTTAAGTCTAAATCCCTCAATATTCATTACTTTAAAGAT